CTAGTAACAAGAACGCTACTAGGGGCTCCTGGCATCGCTACTAGGAGGAAGGATGCTACTAGGGGCTCCTGGCCTTACTACTAGTAACAAGAACGCTACTAGGGGCTCCTGGCATCGCTACTAGGAGCAAGGATGCTACTAGGGGCTCCTGGCCTTACTACTAGTAACCAGAACGCTACTAGGGGCTCCTGGCATCGCTACTAGGATGCTACTAGGGGCTCCTGGCCTTACTACTAGTAACAAGGACTCTACTAGGGGCTCCTGGCATCGCTACTAGGAGCAAGGATGCTACTGGGGGCTCCTGGCCTTACCACTAGTAACAAGAACGCCACTACAGGCTCCTGGCATCGCTACTAGGAGCAAGGATGCTACTAGGGGCTCCTGGCCTTACTACTAGTAACAAGGACTCTACTAGGGGCTCCTGGCATCGCTACTAGGAGCAAGGATGCTACTAGGGGCTCCTGGCCTTACTACTAGTAACAAGGACTCTACTAGGGGCTCCTGGCATCGCTACTAGGGGCTCCTGGCCTTACTACTAGTAACAAGGACGCTACTCTTTCCTCCTCCAATGAGACGCCCCCCAGAGACGAACGGACGGTCGACCGCTTCGCATCTTGGCCATGAGACTCGTATTCGCAAGTAGAGAGCTATGTAAGTGGAGGTAGCTTTTCAAACTATGTTTTCACATGTTCAACGAATGACAAACTAATGTTTCCTGGAGCCGGTGCTAGTGGTTCCTTTGCGTTTGCGTTTTTGCACAACATTAATCCATAAATAGCATATCCTCCAAGCCTCAGCTCAGCCCTGCTCTGAGATCATGATCGCAATGCACCAAAGAATAAGGATGTCAAAGGCACAGGGATCTTTTTTCCGCAGCTGGTTAATTGTTGGCCCTATTTTGTGTCACGCCATTTTGGGGTTCTATATTGAACAGAATGAGTCTCAGTGGAAGTAGGTCAGAAAAAAAAGAGAGACGTGGAGCCATGGGAACATGACTTAAGTGTTCTGTTTCATGCCCGGCCCCAAAGAACAAGTGCCTTCATCCAGATTCCAGATATTCCAAGCCGTCAGGACGATGAACGGTCTACTTGGCGGTCCAAAGAGTCCAAAGGCACGATGGACGGGACGATGGACGGTCTACTTGGCACGGGACGAAATCACCATCCTCGAAATGACAGATTGGTTTGGCTGGGACATGGCAAACTGGAATTCAGCTTGGAGATAATTAGATCTGAGATGCCCAGAAGACTTCAGGATGTAATAGTGATATGTGCAGTTCCAATTGAAATTGAGGAGCGTTGCGGACTCCGTCAGCTTGGGTGTAGACCTTGAAATATTGTCCCTGGATTGACAGAAAGCTTGCTGGGTCAAGTGATGTGATGTAAATGGTGTAGTCGACATGCGGTGGTTGTTTGAACAGCTGGTCCTGAGTCTGAGATTTTCAGAAAACGTGTGGGTCATGATATGCCATCTCCCCTAAAAAACGGAGAGCGTGGAGTATGGAGGTCTTCTAGACAAATAAGCGAGACCGCAGCGCAATTGGGTTATATAAGCCCGAGTTGGGTTTGATGCTTTGTTCATGATTTTGTGAAGGTAGTGCAATTGTCACAAGCTCAGGGCTGCATGATCTTGGTTTGAAGCCATCTCAGCCATTATTCACGGTAAGACACCATGCGCCACATGCTGCTTCTGAATTCCACCGCTTCTCTTGCTTGAGGAGAATCCTCAAGACACTTTCAAAAGCCGTCCGAACAACTTAAGACACTTTCCTCGTCCCACTTGTCCAACGGCCGTGACACTTGTCCTCGATGCCCAGCTGCGATGTTCGATCCAGGCAGCTATGACTACTCGTATGATTACGATTATAGTTACGTGAGATCCTCAGAGACATCAGGGTGAATGAAGTCGACATCCTCTCGACATCGAAGAATCCAAAGAATCTAGAGAAGAGAGAGTCAGAGCCTCGCCTTCAGGTTCGGGGGCATTGTGTCGCGTTGCTTTATCAGTCCTTGGCTCCAACCCGTTCCAAAGCAATCCAAGGCTCCGAAGCGAAAGGTTTCGCGGCAGGCGAGGGCGGGTCATAATAGAAGTTGGGTCAAAAAAAGGGAGGTACAGGAGTTCACCAGAAGTGAACTCGGGGATTTCTCAGGGTTCGCCTCATGTGAGATCACACAATTTATCCTTATTGGCTCACTCGTACAGTATATTAATGTATATTATATATAAGTGAAATTAAGTGAATTGGTACACAGTCAAAGTGGAAAGCCAGCTACAGACATGACACATGATGCGATCTGATAATTACTATCATTTTTGCCATTCAATCGGAAGAAACACTTTCACTGCCTAATTTCGGCCATATGTTGTTGGAACATGTTGGAACAAGGAACTGTTCCTGTTCGTGAGACGTCGCAGGCGATCAATCATACTCATACATCAAGTGCCTCTTATCAAGACCTCTCCGGTGTAGGTCATCAATTCTTTCTGATGAAAAGATGGGTCAGAATCGGACCCCGAAGGCTGCATGCGATGTGCTGGAACCAGTGCCGCCTAGATCTGTGTGATATCTCCTGTCCCCACCAATTGCAGGACTTGTTCCATTCACCAGATCAGGCAGGGAACTGTAGGGGTGGGCTTACCTCAAAATGACTGCGCCCTATTCGCCGTTCGCAGACGTCCAAGGGCTGAGGAAAGCGCTCGTCCGTTCAGGCGTCTGCTAGCCGCAGCCCGTCCGGGTTGCGCAGACAGTCAGTTCTCGTCACTCGCAGGTGACCGAACATGAAGGTGACCTCACCAAGTACCACGGGATAACTTTCAACTACAGATGCTAGCTGCTAGCCCGCATCTTGGATGTGGTACAGAACAGGACCATTTCGTCATGTTTGGCTCTCCCAGTGCTTCCGCGCTTCCGAAACCGCCCCGTCCGCATCGTGTGCCGTCAGTCCGGCGCATCCGTCCGTAACAGGCGCAGTCGGCGGTCCCACAGCCTCGTTCTCTCCCAGGCCGAAGAGACCACCCCGCAGGAAAGAGGTGGGGAAGACGAAGTATGCGCACTTCGAGCCATACATCAATATGCTTGGGTCTTTGGGAAGGCCATTGATTGTTTTGTGGCTTTCCGCACGATTTAAAACGATGACCAACACTTTCGAAAAAGGAAGGACAGGGTTGTAACATGTTGTAACAGGGAGCTTGGTAAGGCATGGGATCCTGGCACGGAGATTTGTGTGTTGTACGTGCACATGACTTCAGGAATCCTTGATGACTATGTCTGAACAAAAACTTAGCAACAAGAAGCCAACCCAAACTAAGGTAGCTGGACCAAAGAAGCTCTGCAAACGCTGATCCAGTCCACGTAACCAGACTGCTGGAATGTCAGAATCCCACAATCCAAAAGCCACATCCTCCTTGGATGAGCTGAAGGTCTTTGGCCACAACAGGGGATTCCCGAATCCAATGTCATGCGGTTGTGACGCACACATTGGCTGGGACATGACTAGTAACAAGTGCATCGCTGCTAGGAACAAGTGCCTTACTAGTAGTAACAAGAAGCTATTAGAAACAATAAGCTACTAGGAACAAGTGCATCGCTTCTAGGAACAAGTGCCTTACTAGTAGTAACAATGTTTGCTATTAGTAACCTGTATGTGCACATTCCAGGGGTCGATGAATCTGCGCCCATCTCTGACATGCAATTCGTGAGACACTGATTCCTTCGATCAGCAAGTACATGTAAGTCAGTACATTGGTTTGTTGATGGGAGAATTCAGACTATAGCATCTCTACTGCCCTTGTTTGTCATGGCACTGTTTAGCATCCATACTAAACCTCAACCACTTCCAAAATCCTCGCTTTCCCATGCTTTCCCCAAATCCAGCACCCCAAAAGCTCTGGACTCAGACCCGGTGACCAGAGGAAGCCCTCCGACCTCGCCAGAAGAAGCCCAAGATTTCAGCACCCAACGCCTATGATCTCGATGAACAGCTGGACGTCCGGATTCCCCGGGCGACTCCGCGCGGCGCGGCGCCCGCCGCAGTGCGCAGAAGGCGTTTAGACGGGCGTGCCAACAGCGACGGTTTCCGAAGATTCGCGGTGAGAGAATGGGTAGGGGTGATCAGGTCCTATGGCGCCGCAAGAAACGATCGTCGCTTTGTGGAGCTCTCATAGATGAGCGGCCGTGAACTAGTGTTTGTTGAGGGTCTTTCATCGATCTAGACTAGACTACATCGCCGCATGCATGATAGAACGGACCGTTAGAAATCTCATGAACACTCCCACGTGTTGCTTTTGTCAGAAGGTATCGGCATTGCATCGCCAAACAATATTATTATAAAGCAACCGTGTTCATTTTGACACGGCACTATAGAAGAACACCCCAATTTGTAATCGGTCTTATAGAACAGAAGTAGAGAGCGCTCAGCCCAGATGAGATTCCACAGGTTCCACAGCATTTGAGGTCCGTGAAAGTGGGTGGGCTAGAGGTTAAAACCTCACGGAGGGGTATTTTTTCTGGGATTTTTTTTCATTTTTTTTCGGGAATTTTTTTCGGATTCTGCTTTTCTGCTTTGGTTGCTTTTCTGCTTTTCTGCTTCTGCTGCTCTTTTGCTTTTGCTGTTTTTTTGCTTTTGCTGCTCTTTTGCTTTTGCTGCTTTTTTGCTTCTGCTGCTGTTCCGCTTTTGCTGCTCTTTTGCTTTTGCTGCTTTTTTTGCTTTTGTTGCCTTTCTGCTTTTGTTGCCTTTCTGCTTTTGTTGCTTGTTTGCTTTTGTTGCTCTGCTTTTACCTTGCGCGTTTTTCGTGTTTTGCGTACTTCGCGCACTTTGCGCACTTTGCGCGAAAGCGGTTGGGAGGCTTGCGCGTTTACACGCGTTATCCTGGTTCCATTTTTTGCGCGCGCGTTTTTTTTGGTTTTGCGCTGCGCGCTTTTCGACTTTTCCATGCAGGGGTAAAATTTAGAGAAGGATGTGGCCATGCCAAGTTGACTCACCCTTTTGTGGGCAAGGCTGGGGTAAAATTTAGAGAAGGATGTTGCCATTTCAACTTGACTCACCCCTTTTGTTGGCAAGGTGAGCCACCCGAGGGTAAAATTTAGGGAAGGATGTTGCCA